AGAAATATAATAGCAAAAACATTTGTTTTCTCTTTTTATTGGCTATCAGTGCAGCGTTAGTTTTGGATGCAAATATAAATACACTGCAAGGGATTACACTGTGGACATGCTGTATGTAGGGGAGCTTGTCCTACACTCCTCTGTCCTAGACCCGCCACATAGTCTCAAGTTACTTTTAAGCTCCTGCCAAAAGAAAATGTAGAAAATCTCCAGACACCAGCTCAGTTCTAAATAAATAAATAATGAGCATTTGCATTTGTTTATATTAATTAAAAACCTAATTGAGACCGTCTTTCTAACCACGGCAGATTTGCTACAATTGTGTCTTGTATCTGGACAGAGTCTCTTTCATCCAGAAAGAGCTGGTGTAAAAATGGACACCCACTATAGGCATGTTTTGAGCGTAAATGACTAACCGTGTCGGTTACACTCAGAGAAGCCACTTCCCTGGCAGTCGGGTGGGCAAGGGGCTTCCGGCTCCGCTCGCGGGGAGGAGACGTCGCTGCTGGCTCCGCTCCAGGGGAGACTTTGCTGCCGGCTCTGCAGTACAAAGCTTTTCAGTGGTTACACGGTGACCCTATTACACGATTTTTAACATCCCCAATACACACTGTAAAAGCGTAGGACTCGCCTGTGGAGTGAGGCAGGCACATGTGTAGTGCCCTGTAGTCCTACAGTACAGCGCAAGGTCGATATTAGCCAGCTGATAATGCTAAATCAAAGTGGAAGAACAGGAGCTCCGGCCCAGCTTTTGCTGTAAGAGCACAGATTAGTTCTGTACAGTCCAGTGTGCCCCAAGGGAAGGATTTAAGACTCAGCCTACCCATATGACTGGCTACATCTCAAATGGCAATGGGAAGCTAGCCACGCAGGCAATGCAAGTCTTTCCCCAGTGATGTGAGAGAGAAAATGGCCTTACTGAAGGGCAGGAGCAAAAAGGTGTCCTGTGTGCATGTGTTTGGTTTCTTACACTATATGCATCCTGTGATGAAAAGCCCCCTCTCTGTTTGTTTTGGAGATAAAAAGGGAATTTTAGGTTATGAAACTAATGGAAGAGAACTTATGGATGAAAACTTCTTCAAGCCAGAAGATCCAGCAGCACCCCGTCAACGTTCCCTCTAATCTTTTCCATGCATGTGTGGAATATTTGTATGTGCACCGAGGCATGTGCCCCACCAACCATAAAACTTAGCTGTGGGCACTCTAATAATCAGCTGGGTGGCATTGAATGTCTCCTGAGCAGGCTGCACAAGCACACAGATTACAGGGAACTATACCCACCCTCCCAGCCCTCCTTCCATCTGGAATCCGTGTATAAAGCAAGGGTTGGATCAAGAAGAAGATTTTCCCTGACAGTTCTGTGGGAAGGGATTGTCCCTAGTTACTTCCATTTACCCTGAGTCAAGCTGCTAAATTCATTTTACATTCCTTGTAAGGCAGCTGGGCCAGGGGGTTTAGACCGAGGTTACAGGTCTAGCAGCAGGAAAGAGCTCTTTGTGTCTAGCTGTGTGCTGGTATGAACCCATATTTATTGTGTTTTAGCCAGGGAATGTACAACTGTGACCTGTCTACACAGCATCAAACACTGAGAGGACCTGGTGACACCTCAGTTAATATTTGTAGCATAGACAGGCACTCACG